TAATATGTGTTTTAGAAGTATGGCTGTACACATGAACAGACGTTCCATAGAACAAGCATGTATGCTCATGTGCAGCATGTTTTAACCAATGACAGGTCTCTCCCCAGTGCCACCACTCATCAATTAATCTTCTAATCCAATAATACCTCATAAAAAACGCCTATACTACTGTTAACAAATTCATTAATATAGTCATTTTTTCTTAATTTTTTTTGTAGATGCTGTTTTTCAGCCTCTTACATGTTTCCTGCTTTTCTCTGTTTTATATTATACATAGTGAATGGATCTGGGGTTTTGACTGACTAAACAAGAAATGTATAGACATTAGGCTACTTTAAATCAGGGGTGGGGAACCTCCGGCCTCCTTCAAAGTCCATTAAAAGTTTAAATGGACTTTGAGAATTTAGGAGGGGCATTTCTCACAGTCTTCCCACATTTTATAGACCAAAAGATGCATCTATTAATGCATAAACTGTTGCGCATTTAAATCAATAAAGAACTGAGTAGCAGCTGTACTTCGTTCCACACGATGGTGATCAGAGCAGCAGATTAAAGCAGAGTTAAAGGTCACTTTGAGAATCCATCATAAGCCCTCTTAACATGAAGAGCAGATGTCCTTTAGTTGACCTGAGGTTGACTTCAGATGAGGAGACGGTTGATGTGTTGGACTGCTGAGGAAAATGAAATAAGGATGTCCTTTTATAGGCCATGTGTACAAACTGATCTTTAATGACATCTCCTTGCTAATCTTGTTACAACTGTTAGAGCACGAGTGCATAGAGTTTGGCAAGATTTAGCATTTTAAATCTCCAGCCAACTTTTCGTAGAGTTCAGAAAACACCTGTCAGGCCTTCACTTTCACAATATGTACATTTCTGCCACTAGGCGTCTGTCCATCAGAACCAACAAATTATGGAGATTTGTTGTGAAGTACTGTACTGTGGATCTTGCATTAGATTTGGTGTCCCTCATTGGTCATTAATAAGGAAGTCTTTATTGGGAGCTACATTATCCACATATGTCTCTTCACCTTAAAAAACAGAAACACTGATTATGCAGTTTTGCATTAAACGTGAAACTGCTTTATTAAGAGTTAAAGGTGGGGTAGGTAAGTTTGAGAATCCAACACATCCTCACTCCCAGGTCAGCCTATGTTGACGTTATGTCAAGTCCCCTGTGTCGGCTTTTTCCAACGCAAGAGGGGGGCAGCCCTTAGCGTACACTTTCAACTTTCCGGGATGTCCATAGTCCTCTATATAGCTCCCTAAACGTATGTTGTAGACGACTTGAGATCGAGAGCGAATGCTACCAGCAGATCCATTCTCACAGCGTTTATCAACCTTTTTCTTACTCAATATCAAGCCACACTTATTGTTTTTACTTCTTTATTTTAATTGAATAATGTAGGACTTTTGTTGCCGTCAGTTATGGGGAGAGTAGGGGCTCAGAATACTGAAATCTTTATCTGTATTAATGGACGTGCCGTTGTGCGATTGCGTTGCCATGCATTTTAGAAGGCCTCATGAAATACTTTAATGTAAATTAAAATGTAAATGTGAAGGGATGTCTGTAATGTGGTGATTGATATTATTCACCCACGGATCTATGGGTTGGGGTATTGTTCCGCACGGACATTTTAGTTAACCGGACTTCCTGTTGATGTGAAATACGAAAACATTTTTTAAAAATAAAATAATACTTTATTCCGAGTTTGCTTGCTTTTCTCTTTGGAGGTCATCACATAACGGCATTGTAATACACGGTTCGGCTGCATTAAATATTACATATCTGCCGTAGTTCTTTATTTATAGAGCCCTGCTGAGAAGACTTCTAGACAAACAGGAGAACTGCCGCCGAAACTGAATACGTGACGTGGATCATACATATATCAGCAATTAAACAATATCTTCCATTTCTCTTCACAATATAAGTCTCCTTGCAGTATCAACACTAATTCGGCTGACTTTTATATTTGATCTAATCGGTATATTGGTATATTTACACCATAACGGTGCACAGCTGATAGAAAGGGACACCTGGTGGTTAAAGCACGTTATTGAAATGTATTATTTTTATTATTAGATATTAATAGGAGACACAGACAGACAAACTAATAAGGCTTTATTTAAACATTAAAGAATACTTTAGGTTAAGGTCTTATTTTAAATAAGAAAAAAGCTTTGGTGGTATAAATATTAAGCCTGACAAAGTACTAATATATTGCTTTCCTGCAATGTTAACTACTGTGAAAGAGCCTTCTTTCCACCTTTCTTAAGCTCCTTTTGTTCTTTGGTTTTAGCGCCTGGCCGACGCGCTCACACATCACTCAGTCACCTTTCTTTTGGTATATTTATTTCCAAGTTATCCTTCTCTGCAGTGCAATGCAGCGGTCAAAAAACCGTGTGGCTTCACAACCAAACTAGAACCCAGAGTATCATCAGCAGGACTCTTTTAACCAGCTGAGGCAATCACAACACCAATCAGCCGCTCCGCCCAGCCGTGGCTGCGGATCATGATCACTTGACACCAATCAATTATACTCCATTACATACATTAAATGATTAAATAATACAAATAATAAATCAACGTTTTGGCTCCTACACTCCGGCCCCTAATTGTTATGGAATCACACATGACAATTACTAATAAACATAAAATGGAGAGCCAATACAAAACATTTGTTCAGGGCTTCTGACCCTTTGTAGGGCGAATGTGTATTAACACATGAGTCCGTGTGTGTAAATGTGCTTGTGTGGTGCAAGAGGGGAAGGGGGCTAGAGCTCATTTTGGGACTCGACCAGCAGTAACAGCTTTGTGATGGGTCGACGGAGTGTGCTGGTTTTTGTCTGTACTTCCACTTGTCGTACAAAACCTCTCGAGTCTGGCAAGACTTGCGTTATTCGTCCCATGAGCCAGGAATTTCTTGGAGCATTTTCGTCGACGATATGGACAATGTCCCCTGTTGCGAAATTCCTCCTTTTCCTGTTCCACTTTTGCCTTATTTGGAGTTCCGGTAGGTATTCCTTGGTCCATCGCTTCCAAAATAAGTTGGCCATGTACTGAATTTGGCACCATCTTCTCTTCCCGTGGCAGTCGCTCGGATTGAAGACACCAGGCGGAAGAAATGGTTTTGATTTGAGCAGCAAAAGGTGATTTGGAGTGAGGGGCTCTAAATCTCCAGGGTCGTTGGAAACAGTCGTTATCGGTCGATCATTTATGATCGCCTCCACTTCGCAGAAAAGTGTGGCAAGTCCTTCCTCGTCAAGCTTCTGTTCTTGCGTGAGGGCACTGAGAATGCGTCTGACGGTTCTGATTTGTCTTTCCCAGATTCCTCCGTGGTGGGAGCCTGCTGGTGGGTTAAATATCCACTTTACTTCCTCTTTAAGAAGCTTGTTCTGGATTTGTGTGTGGTTTAACTCTTGTATTGCTTCTTTTAGTTCACGTTCAGCTCTAACCAAATTGGTTCCGTTGTCTGACCTCATGACCTTGACAGGGCCTCTTCTTGCAATAAATCTCCTGATGGCATTAATGCAAGAGTCAGTGTTGAGACTGTGTGCAAGTTCAAGGTGAACTGCTCTGATGTTTAGACAGGTAAAAATTACACCGTATCTTTTAACTGTGGCTCTTCTCTGTTTCAACTCAAATGGGCCAAAGAAATCCACGCCCACGTTTGTGAAGGGCGGATCATCAGGGGTAACTCTTTCTTCCGGCAAGTCTGCCATGAATTGCTGACCTTTTACACCACTGAGTTTCCTGCAGGTTACACATTTAGAGAGGATTTTTCGGATTGCAGAATTTCCTCCAGGAATCCAATATTTCTGCCTTAAACCTGACAGAGTATGACTCCTTCCACTGTGCCCTATGTTCTCATGGACATGTCTGATGAGGAGTTGAGTCACATGATTGTTTGCAGGTAAGATAATTGGGCTTTTGGCTTCGGCTGGCATTGCGGATTTCGATAACCTTCCGCCAACTTTTACCAAGTTGTTCTGCAGAATGGGTGCCAGTTTGTGAAGATGACTGCTCCTTTTGACTGCAAGTCCTTTCTTTAGCGCAGTTATCTCATCCTTAAATGAAGCGGACTGACAAAACTGAATTATGGCAGCTTCCGCTTCCTCCAAGTTTTCAACAGTGAGAGGTCCTTTTTCATGTTTTGCTCTCTTTTCCTTCAAATCCATTTTTGCCCTCGCCATCAGAGCGGATTTTATGCGTAGCATCCAGACCACAGCTTTTTTCAGGCGATGCCAGTGGGAATAGTAAGTGAGCAACTTGTTCACTGTACTAGAGCTTTCTTCCATGGGGTTGAGACTTACGGCAAAAACTTTGACTTCAGGGTCGCTGGCTGTTAGAGTCAAATCTGGAGATTTAGGCCACTGATGCTCAGGGAGACTAAGGAACTCTGGTCCCCTTAACCAGGTTTCATCTCTCAGAAAGCGACTTACAGAGATTCCCCTTGATACACAGTCAGCTGGATTCAGGCAACCATTAACATACCTCCATTGGGAAGTCTCTGAAGCAGATCGAATGACTGCGACTCTGTTGGCGACGAAGGTGTGGAATCTTGTAGTTTCATTTTGTATGTACTTCAACACAGACGTGCTGTCAGTCCAAAACACGGATGGCTGGAGTTTAAGCTCCAACTCTTCCTGTAACATTCGGTCCATCCGGACGGCTACAGTGGCAGCGGTAAGCTCCATTCTTGGGATGGTCACAGGTTTGAGTGGAACTACTCTGGCCTTACCCATGATAAAGGAACAATGAACTGCGTTTGCTTTGTTCATCAGGCGAAGGTAAGATACTGTTCCGTAACCACTTTCACTAGCATCTCCAAAGTGGTGAAGCTGAGCTGAGACTGGATCTCCAAAGTTGAGTGGTGTGATGCATCTTTTGACTTTGAAGTCTCTCAGTAATTGCAAGTGGTGTAGCCAGCTCAACCACTGTTCCTTACATTCTTCAGGAATATTTTCGTCCCATCCTAGTCTTATTCCTGTTAATGTTTGCTAGATTTGCTTTGCAGGGAGGATCACAGGGGACAACATACCCAGCGGATCAAATATAGAGCTCACTACTGACAGAATACCTCTCCTGGTAAGTGGTTTATCCTGAGGAGTAAATTTGAAATGGAATGAGTCCGTTTCCGTGCACCACTGAACTCCGAGAGCTCTTTCAACAGGTAGGGTACTTTTATCCAGATCCAGATCCTTGATTTCCTTTGATCTACTTTCCTCTGGTATTGTTTGTAGTAGAGCTCTGCTGTTGCTTACCCATTTGTTTAACTTGAAACCACCCTTATTGCACAGGGTTTTAAGTTCGTGAGCGATTATCACTGCCTTCCTCTCGTCTTCCATTGATTTTAGGCAATCGTCCACATAAAAATTTCTTAGCATCGAAGAGACAGCCTCTGGGCTAAAGTCATCCACATTGTCTCTTGCACACTGTTGTAGGGCAAAGTTGGCACAACTAGGCGAGGATGTTGCTCCAAAGATGTGTACAACCATTTGGTACTCTTCTAGCTCACTACTGAGATCTCCATCGGGCCACCACAAGAATGTGAGAAGATCTGAGTCTTCCTCTGGCACCTGATGGAACATGGCTTCAATATCTGCCATGAATGCAATGTTCTTCTGCCGGAATCTTGTAAGGACACCAATAAGACTGTTGGTTAAATCTGGGCCTTGGAGAAGACGTGCATTCAGAGATGTGCCCTGGTAAGTTGCACCGCAATCAAAAACCACCCTCAGTTTACGCTTTTTTGGATGGTACACGCCGTGGTGTGGAATATACCAGCTCCTTTTGCTTTGATTTGCCTTGTCTTTTTGTTCAGGTGTCATTCTGATGGCAAAACCTTTATCAACAACATCCGCCATGAACTCTTTGTACTCCTTGTATAATTTGTTGTTTTGTTGGAATTTTCTTTTTAGGTTCAAAGCTCTTTGTTCAGCAACACGTCTATTATTGGGAAAATCAAGTCCTTTTTCCTTTAATGGCAGTCCAATACTGTAGTGTCCGTCTACTAACTTGACAGAATTAGAGACACTTTCCATGAACTTGTGATCCTCTCTTGACATTTCCAGACGCTCCTTGTGTTGATGTTCTGGAAAGTCCAGCTTCACTTGCTGCTTCAACAATTCCTCGATTTCCACAACAGAAATTCTGTTTGCTGTAACGACTGGCTTAATCCAACGAATCGTATCTGACCTTCCTAGAGGTCCATTTATTGTCCAACCTAAAATGGTCTTAACAGCGTACGGGCCATTCCCTTGGCTGTTTATGACTTTGCATGGCTCTAGAGCTTTTGGCACGTTGCACCCAATTAGCAAGCCAACCTCTGCATCAATTTGTGGTATATTGACCTCTTTCAGGTATTCCCATTGTCCCACATCCTCCTGAGAGGGAATATTTGCCTTTCGTACTGGTATTTTGTTTTGTGAATAAACAGGTGGAAGTGCTACATACTGGTTACTTTCTAGACCACATATTTCAAGGTCACATGCAACAGATGCTTTAACTGACTCCTCTTTATTCATTGTTCGTAAGAGTATCTTCGTGTTGCGTCCAGTCACTTGAAGCTGCTGTAGAATGGACTCTGTGCAAAAGGTAGCCGTACTACCTGGGTCCAGAAAGGCGTATGTTGTTATGATGGTATTACCCTGTTTTGTTTTCACCTTCACAGGAACGATAGCCAGGGTGCCTTCAGGCTCACCGGCCCCAATATCCTCCTCCCGTGAATCGTCTTTATCCATATCCACTAAAGCATTTGCAACAGTCTTTACCTTTCCTTTGCTCGACTCGATATTACTGAAATGCAACAGAGTGGGGTGTGTGAGATTGCACTCTTTGCAGGTATGTCTTTGTTTGCATCATTTACTCATGTGGCCCTTTTCTAAACATCCAAAGCAAAGTCCTTTGCTTCTGAGGAATTCCAACTTCTCTTTGTGGGTGTTTTTGAGAATCTGATTGCAAGCAGAAAGATGGTGTTCTCCTTTACAGTAGATGCATCGGTTTGATTGGGATGTGTCACTGTGTCGGTTAC